GGAACACTTTTTTTCCCTTCAGTACTCAAAAAACTTTACTCTAAATGAACCTCGAAAAAAGTGCCAGCAGAATAAGAGCTATTTAAACTGGAGGGAGGGTATCAAGCAGGACATCTGCAAAGAAAAGACAATAAAATCTGTAACAATTCCCTCTCTCAACAGCCTTCTCCTGGGCTCATAAGCTTTCTTCTTTGGTGGGGTTGCAGGGGAGTTGAGGCTGGTCTGGGGAATGCCACATACAACCATTCAGCACAGGGCCCTCTCCACACCAGGCAATTCTGTCTCCCACAGGCCCCTGGGAAGCCAAGCTTTATTAGAAACTGTCTCCAAACTTGAAAGTGTCATCTGCAAGGGAAGGGGACCTCAGGACAAGAGCCAGCTTAGAGTCCCCTTTATCCCATCACAGACATCTCGCAAGGCCCCCAGCTGAGTATCTGGGCAGAGAATGTGGTGGACCCATTGCACCAACTCCCCAGCGTGGGTACAGGTTTCCTTCTTTCATTCTGCACACGTTTGGGCGAAGTCTTGCTCTCCCCACCCCGCCCCCGAGCTAGGTATCCCTCCAAGTCATCCGATACCACCAGAGCTCAAAGCAACTTGCTCTCTAAATTGTTGCCACAGGCAGAATAGCTTTCCATGTATTTCAAGTCACTAAGTATGCAGAAAGTACCCCTCTCTCTTCTACCTGTCTGTCTACCCAATAAGGAAGGAGCCACATAGACTCAGAAATACAAGAGCTGGGGGTAGAGGTTACTACCTGAATCCTTGTGTAGCTACAGCTTTGGAGTACCACAAAAAGTCTTCCAGCAAAGACACACTTAAGCTCTGGATGTTTAAATTTTGGACATCAAGGCTATAATATTCACTTCTTTGTTTTTAAATATACTTTATGGATGAAGATACTTGAAGAATTTTAGGTCTCTGGTGTATGACAGATAAAAGTCAAAATACATGCTATACTTATTTTACTCACTTTTTTTCACAAACTACACATCTTTGACATCCCAAGGGATGACCTAATTTAGTATCTGAAAGTTCAAAGATGGCATTTGTAGTGGGAATTTAGCTTCCAATTATACAGCATTATTCAACATTATGAACTATTTTAAAACTTTACTAAAAGGGTAAAACAGGCCATGAACTCTATCTGAGGCCCGATCTTATGAGGCTCTCAAAGGCTCTTTTACAGATCATTTAGAAAGATTAAAGAAACTCACTCTGCCCAGGAGAGCCCTTGCTCAGTCAATTGAAGGTCCCATTAAACATGAAAGAGACCCTTATTTTCTGCTCACCAACTATGGATTTCCATCTCTCCACAAACTGTATCACTGGTTATTTTACTTTTAAGTTGCTTTCATATTTATCATCTCATTTTATCTGTGAATGTGCCAAGAGCCATATATAAAGATGGAAATAAGAGCCCCATTGTTGCTCTGGGCATGGGTGATAGTCAAGATCTTACCTCCCCCAAATGTCAAGTGTACAAAAACAAATAGCCAGGAAGTTGGGTAAAGGAGCAGAGAATGGAATAGAATAGCCACGCAGGTGGGACTGGGGTCCAGAGGGCCTGGGGAGGAATGCAAGAAATGAAGAATAAGGAGTAAGAACAACAACAGAGGGTGGGGCTGTGGCTCAGTGGTAGAGCACTTGCCTAGCATGTGGGAGTCGCTGGATTTGATTCTCAGCACCACATTTTAAAAATAAATAAAATGAAGTTATTAAAAATCAACAATAACAATAATTTCTAGTTAACTTTTCAGAAATCATTTAAGGGGCTCATTTCTGAATCCCCAACTGGCAAGGGAAAGAAAAGAATCTGTATGTTTTGGATTATTTTAATATGTTATCTCTGCATATGGGAAAGAAGGCCCATGACTTGCTTTGCATGTGTGACCAACATCCAGGAATCCTACTGCCCAACTAAGAAGGACAACTTCTCAGAAATAAGCTACTCTGATATTTGGGACCATGTGGAACAAATCAAGCCACTGTCTTATGTGAGTGTGTTTTGAATCAATTCATGTATCAATGATCTTTCACAAAAATGTTACTGTTCACAAATCCTGAAAATGAAATTGAATCCCAGGTCATGGAGATTATGCATCTATATGGCATATACATAAATAAAATGTACAGTCTTTGGGGAAAATTGATTAAATTTGAAATGAGTATTGATTGATATTAGTTAAATGAGATTCAATAAAGCTGAGTATGCAAACTCAGAAAATGTGTTATTAGATAAAGGAAGATAAATCACTGGTTATCTCTATAAATTACTATACTAGTTTTTTTTTTTTTTTTTCCTGCCAGAAACAATTCTTGCTTAGGAAGAGCCAACTAAGGAAAATTTGTCTTTTAGGTATGGTAAAAACTTATCATAGCTGTTATTAACAGGATGCTCTTTACAGGGAAAATATTCAAAATCCTCTCTTCAGCTTCTTGAGATACGCAGCCTATGATTATCTGGTTAGATTTGAGAGTTTTCTAGGTGGAATGGGCAAGTGACCCACAGCGCTCTGGAGACTTCCAGAACAAAGGGGAGCTTAGTTCTTCCAAACTGGGTGCCCCTATTCAGCAGGACTCATCTTCACCAACCACTGCCCCTCCCAATACCCCTTCTGCCTCTGCCTCTGGATGTCCCACCTCTGAATTTCAGTGGGGTCATTAGAAATAATCCAATTTTATTCAAGATAATAAAATCAGAGCTGCCCATTAAAACTTTTTTTCCTAATTAAATTTCTGTTATGAACTGGCTTACCTGATTATTTTTGGCAAATATTTAATGTGAAACATAGTATAAATGTTGATTACTCTTAAGCAGCAGATTCATACCGGGCTGGTGTTGATTATATTCTATTTATTAATTGCCTACCATGTGCCAGGCACTGTTGTACATGATTTCACTATTATTTAATAGAATTCAAAGAACCCTGTGCAGGTACCATCTTACAGTTGAGGTGTGGCACAGATTTGGAGTCTGAAACAGGGGTCAGCAGACTATGGCCCTTCGATTAAGTTGGGCTCTAGAGATTTGTTCATATTTCTAGGACTATTCATTTACAGTGACTATCACTGTTTTTGAGCCCCCACAGCAGAATTGCATACTGGTGACACTGGGACCTTAGGCTCAGAAACCTAAACTTTTTACTATCTGGGGCTATATGAAAAAGCTCCCCAAATCCATGTGCAAAATATGATTAACTCAAGGTTACAGGAAAAAAGGCAAGGACATTGGACTGCTTCAACTATGACTTACACTAAAACTTTCTTAGAGAAAAAATTCGTTTGTTTCCTTTCATTCAAATCTTATTCTTTATTTTTCCACCTAACGTTAATCAACCAGTCTCGGGTAGAAGAGACTTCATGTAATACTAGTTGAGGAACTAAAGGCTTCTTTCTTAGTAAGGTAAACTCTGACTAAGTGGAGAAATTTCTAAGAAAGTAAGGAAAAAAAAAAAAAGCATAAACCAAAGAAAGGTTTAATAAGTTTCCTGAGAGGTTGTAAAACTTTTGGCTGATTCATAGATATTTCTTCTCAAGTACAAATGACATCATTGTCAATTTTTTAAAAAGTTGGCCAACTTGGTCCTACATTTGGTACCACATATTGTTTTAGTTGAGCATCAATTGACTTTTCTATTATTACTGGAAAGTTATGTCATAACTATTTTAGGAGACAGTGTCTGTTCTATCATTTGTGGAACTTAACACATCGATCATGCTTTAAATTATTTTATTTTATTTTTTGAGGGGCTAATGCTATAAGAATGTATTTATTTAGTACAAAATGTGCTTATTAGCAAATAGTCCACTACGTTCTGAAGCGCATTTTAAATAAGAAGTCTAAAATAGGCAATAGGTATTAACAAATGAAAGAATTTAATCTTAATAGGCAGCAAAGTGAGTATAGCTTTGTAATATACAAATTTTCTATTGAATAGAATATTCTTAATAATAAATTAGGAATGAGTTAACATCTGAGCTTCACTGCTCATTTTATTTATTTATTTAGGTTTTTTGTACTGGGAATTGAACCCCTGGGGGCACTTTACCCCACTGAGCTACATCCCCAGCCTTTTTTTTTTTTTAATTTTGGGACAGTATCTCTCCAAGTTGCTGAGGGCCTCAGTAAGTTGCTGAGGCTGGCCTTGAACTTGTGATTCTCCTGCTTCAGCCTCCCAAGCTGCTGGTATCATAGGCATGCACCACCATACCCGGAACCACTGGTCATTCATTATGCTCAAAAACCTGCTTATAAATCAAAGTCAATAAATGGATTTCTAGAGGATATGATCTGGCTCATAGAGCTGAGTTCAATTCACGTGGAATAATTTATGCAAATAATTTAAAACCAAAATAATTTACGCAAATCATGTTAAATTGTTTACTATAAAAGTGAACAGAAAGGAAACACTCAAGACAAAACGGAGCCCATGGTTTTTCTTCTATCCTTCACTCCTTTCCCCCAAACACCAACCAGCATAGGCCCCACCTAGAACAGTGGCTCCAGGCTTAGCGTATTAGAGGCACCTGAGAATCTCCCACTCCTCGGGATACACCCTTGGCTACTGAAATCAGAAACTCCAAGGCAAGTGGAGAACTGTGATGAGGGTTAAGAACAGCTTATCCCAATGGGTTCAGTCAGATACACCTGACACCTATTTGCTGGGAGGCTTGAAGGCCCATCCCATCCTCTCGCCTGCTCCAAGCTGCAAGGCACTCTGGCACTCTGATGTGGGATTTATGAACACAGCATACTGGTACATGCACAGTATCATCCTTACTCCTGACACACACTGACTCATTAGTGCAACTATGAAGAGGAATTCACCCAGTGAGCCCAGTGCTAGCTATATAACCATCTGTTTAAACTTTCATACCTCTGTGCATCTTAGGCGACAACACACATATCCCCCACATTGAAAAGCTTGGCTTTGCTCTTTATTTTGCAAGCCTATTTCTCCTGCTTGACAAACTTGGAAAAGCGAAGCTTGCCTTACCTCCACGATGCTTTTCAAATCTTGCACGTAAGTCCTTTCCGTCTCTAGAATCTCCTGCACAACCCTATCCACATAGAGGAGCTTGGGGCTGGTGGCTGTGTCTGCCGTGGTTTTGGACGCCCCATTTGTGTCCACTCTCCATGGGGTCCTGGGCTGCCTCTCACTGCTCTCGTCCATGTTCTGAGGCCCAGCAGGGGTGTCCCTCTGCAGCTCGCTGCTGGAAAACGGCCGTGCTGGAACCAGCTCCAGCTTTATGGCCCCTGCTTCCTTATCCTGGTGAAATAAGCCCAAGTGGCTATTTGAAACCAAGGTCATTCTGCTGCCAAAGGAGCCATGGCTGTCGCGGGAAGAGGCTGAGGATGAGGTGGAGCCAAAGCTGATGGGTCTGTCACTGTCAGAGAGCTCCATGGTCTTTGGTTCTGGGGACAGGGATCCTTCAGCTGTTGTTTCAGGATCGGGATCTTCTGTCACAGCTGATGCTGCTTCAAGACGCATCCGGTGCCCATCTACATGCGTAGCACAAAAAATAAAAAAGACAGGATAAGCAAGGTGAGAGGGTTGAAAGGAAGTCAGAACCTGGCCTGCAGTAATACAGTCAATAACCAAATGGTGCCAAGTTAGTTATAGAAAGAGAGAGGGCCCGAGATGCAAAGCGAGGGCTTCAGAAGCATTGCCTGGGAGCCTGATGGGAACGCAGTCCCAGGCTCTGCATACACATGAAAGTCTAAGAAATACATCCAATGTCTCCAAGTGTGACCACCTGGAAGGATTCATGTGTGCACTTCAGTCTAGATTTACTAAATTAAAGGCTTAGAGGTTGGGGCTGAGCAATCTATAACTTTAACAAGCACACAAGTGATTCTTATGTACTTAAGAGGCATCCTCCGGTCAGGTGCACTGGCCCATGCCAGTAATCCTAATAGCTCAAGAGGCTGAGGCCGGAGGATCAACTTATGATATGCCAGCCTCAGCAACTTGGCAAGGCCCCAAGCAACTTATGAGACCCTGTCTCAAAAGAAAAGATAAAATGAGCTGGGGCTAACCCAGGTTAGCACCCCTGGGTTAAATCCATGGTACCAAAAAAAAAAAAAAAGCACCCTCCATGATTCTTACAGAGTTTTGAGGATTATCACTGGAGATTTTTAAGTCTTTCACCACAATCTCAAAGAATATTAAGCAAGGTTCCTGGAAGTATTAGGATCTAAGTGACACCAACAACTGTACATTTCACTGTACACAACACTAAAGAAGCAACACATCGAAGATAATTTTCTAATACTAGGCATGAAAAACAAACAAATTAAAGACCCCCATCCCATTAGTAAGTATACAAATAAATATAGAAGGAAATTACAAGAACACTTAGGAGAAACAGGCTGTTGTCATTCATAAGAAAGCATATCTATCCACCAGGTCAGACGGTCGCTCAATACCCACAGCACTTAAAAATGACCCTGGGTCCCAAAGGCTCTCATGCAAATTAAACTTTCAGAGCTGTTCTGATGGAATACTCAACGTTTCAAGCTTCTTCATTCCATAAAGCAGAATCAACATTTTTTACCCCTAAAATAATGACATTCCAGGTATATAGAGACGATATGACCTGTGATAAAGAATGTGACTGATGATGATATTTGCTCATTTGGGCAGGTTACCTTACTATCCGAATCCACGTTTATGTGTTTTTATTGGAAAGGAGTGAAATTTATGTTTGGAAGGTTATGACAATACATTAACAATAATATACATTAATGATCAGTTTTCAAGGGGAATGTAAGTTCGTTTTGATTCTATAATAGAGTTCAAACCACTGGCACCATTATTTTTAGAACATGAAGAGTTCACTGGGTACAGTGGCACATGCCTGTAATCCCAGCGAGTCCGAGGCGGAGCAGGAGGATTGCAAGTTCAAAGCCAGCCTCAGCCATTTAGTGAGGCCCTAAGCAACTGAGACCCTGTCTCAAAATAAAAAGGGCTGAGGATGTGGCTCTGGGGGTAAGTACTTCTGGGATCAATCCTGATACAAAGAAAAACAAACATCAAAATCCTTCAACATACTGAGTTTTTCTAGATTAGATTCATGGCAAATATTAGTGCAAATGTATGAAGAAAATGTTAAAATTATGAATATAAAATAAAGGAACTCTGGGTTCACAAGATAGAATGGTAAGAAATTGTAGGAAATGAGCAATTTATCAGCATAACTGCTAACACATGGTATGAGTTTGCTGCGATTTTAAAAGCTTTTGCAATTGTTTTTTTTGTTTGCTCTGTAACAACTTTATGGCCTATAAAACATGGATTGGCCAGTAGTTAAAATGCACTTGACCTAAAAAGCTTGATCCAACTTGAGTGTGGCAAAAGTTTGAGAAGCAGCCAGGCATTTGGGCATGCAGACGACACTTGCCCATGTGCAGGACTAGTGTTAGGAAAGTCCTGAGCAGCTCAAAATAGGACAGATGCAATGAGTTTCTTCCCTTGGGCCTCCACCATAACCATAACCATAACCCTGAGATTGAGTTCACCATAGGGAATGGGAAGAATGAAGGATTCTTTCAGGTTTCAAGGGTCAAATGAGGCTATGATTTAAGACCAAATGTAAGTTGAATGCACTCAACATAAAAGGCAAGGACATCTGGAAAGTTCTAGATCAAACAACCTACCCTCACAGATCTGGATAGGCTGATCTCCAGGGCAAGTTCTAATTTCCTAACTGGGAAAGAATTAGTCTTCCTCTAGTCTAGGAAACTTTTTAACACAGTTACAAAACACTTGGCAGTGTACTTATTATCAGGACAACCAAAAATAAACCCAACAAAGAGACTCATTTCTTTTATCTACTTACTCCAAGGTAGCCAATATGGGCTGTCCAGGGTTTAAAGAGGAATAAAAATTGTTTTCAAAGGAGACCGTGTTGGCCTGCTACTGATGGTATTGCTTTAAAAATGACTTTTGAAGCTGAGAAAAAGTCGGATGTGAAACTTAGAGCAACAGGGGATGCCTTTGTGGATAAATCAAACAGCAACATGAATTGGGTACTGTTCCAGAAAAGCCTTCATATGTTCCAAAACCAGGCCATGTACTTGAGATCACTGGAAGCCATCTATTATTCAGGTTGCCAATTAGGCACTTTATAAAATCAAATATTGCAGATATTTGGTATGTGTAGCATTAGCCAAATTTACTGCCCCAAACTAAATACTTTCCAAAATTGCCAGTGACAGAAGTGGGACATTTAAAGTCAGGTTGAATAATATCATGTAATACGAGACTGCATTTGCTAATGGATAACATTTTTTATGTTGACTCATTGCTTAGAAGATAATTATAGTTTTCTCATAGAAGGAAATGTACCTCATAAAAACCGTCTAGTCTTGTTCTCACTTCCCTCAAAATAATTTAAGATTTCCACCCTGTCTGGTCTATTCTTTCTAATACAATTTGCCAATTATTAATATTTATCTTTAGAGGTGTGCTGCTAAGTGAAGTGGCCACTGGCTACCCATGGCTATTGAGCACTTAAAATGTGGCCAGTCCAAACTTTGATGTGCTCTAGGTGTAAAATATACCTTAGGACATAATATGGAACAAAAATTACAAAACACAACTCAATCATTTTTATATTAATTACATGCTGAAATAATATTTTGGAACTGTGATTGAAAAAAAATCTTATTAAATTTATTTTCACATCTCATTTTACTTTTTTTAAAAATGTGACTACTCGAGAATAAAATATCTATGTGGCTCACAGATAGTTTAGTTGGACCATGTGATGCAGAGATCTTCTAGGTTATTACATTATTATGTAAGATTTAAGTTGACCATATCAATCTCTGTTCACTATTATTAACAATCCACTATTATTATTGTGAATAGAGAGAGAGAAAAATTCAGCTTGGTTTGTCCTTTTTTTTTGCAAACTCCATCTATTAATGCAAACTATTGTTACAAATTAGGAGAACTAAAACCTCATCTGGGGTCCATCTGGGAGATGGCTGTTGTGTCATAGATACTGGTGTTACTGATTTTCTATGATAAACTGAAACACCAGAGAGAAAAGTGGAGAGCAAGAAAGCTTTTTCTTCTGCCTAGAGTGAAAAATTAACACTTGTATAATTTGCTTGTTCTTAAAAATCCTCGTCTTCCTAAATCCCAAGCAAAGGGCTAATAATAGAATAATTTCTGAGAACTTCTTGCCAAACATTGCCAATCGAACTTCTCAGGTAGACCTTTTGACCAGGAAAACCCCCAAATAAGCTGGCTTGACCCACCTGAGGGTCACAGTCAATCTGATCCTTGGCAAACCTGGAGATACAGGGGACACCGTGGTGGCTTACTGATTCTTATAAGTGCCAATTAGCTAAGTCACTGACATTTCCTTTTTTGTGCCATTTTTAGTAAAAAGAAAAAAAATGGCTAAACAGCTCCCTATAGGTATCATATTTTAACTTCACAACACGTTTCTAATTTTTTCTAGGCAAAGTAGCTTTAATTCCTTGGCTTTTCTTTGCCGTGCCCTTCCAACTTCCATCATTTTAATTGCTCTCCTCTGGAATGTTAGTGCCAGAATCAAGCCGTGCTTCCTGGCTCTCACTTGCTTCTAGGGCTGATTTAGGTTTGACATGTAACTTCCCATGGCCTTCTGTGACTGCATTCATGCATGAAAGGGGGACTCAGTGGGTTCCATGGCCTGTGAGTCCCTGTCACAACTCCCAAGGAGTGACCTACAAGAAAAAACAGAAACTCCTCTCACTGCGGGGGTGGAGGAGGGATCAGGATTTCCAAATTCTGCTCATTGCTATTCCAGACATCAAATACCTAGTCTGAGTTCCTTGGCAGAACAACCAGGGAAATCTAGAGAATGTACTGTCCTCAATACTAGTGAATAACTAAAATTATGTCCTTCCTTATTACATGGCCTGTGCGCTAGCCAAAGAGGGAAAGCTACGGAAAGACTATGGGATAAACGAGAAGCTATTCAATCAGCTAGCAAAGGTCATTTAATATAGAGCTAGCCTCTGGCAGAGGCTTAACGTTTTAAACAACCAAATTCACAATTTTTTAAAAAAATGAAGAGTCAACGTTAAGAAATACACATTCATATGTTTTAAAGACAACATTAAGTATTTGAGGAGAGTATCTCTCCCCCCAGAGTTGTATCTACTAACTCAATATTTTAAAGCCTCAGATAATATGGAGTTATGATTTGACTGTAAGGGGTTCCCCTAAAGCTCTTATTAATGCAGGAATATTCAGAGGAAAATGATAAGATTATGAGAACTCTAGCCTAATCAGTTCATCCTGGTGTGAAAGGACTGATTGGTTGGTAAGTCACTGGGGTGTGCCCTGGAAATGTGCATCTTCCCTGTGGCTCCGTACCCTTCCCTCTCTCTGCTTCTTCCTGACTCTTACAGGAACTGAGCAGCTTTCCACTGCTGGGTCATTACCCCATGATGTGCTGCCTCATCTGGGGTCCAAAGCAATGGAGTTGACCATCTATGGA